TATGCATACAAATCTCGCCTACCCGCAAAATCAAAATCTCCTTTCCAATCCCATTCCAAAACGTGTTTCGGAATGTTGGTTAACATTTCATGACACCCGTCACTATCTCTTTCTTTACTGGACCACTGAAAATTGTCTGGTCGCCTTGCAGTAACATTTTAACCGGTCGAGATTCAGCGTGTGTATGTAAGTTCCGTGGTTATATGCACTCGGTGGGACTGCCATTAGATTTGCAGAATGTCGTGCTGACACTGTGGTTTCAATGCCTTTATCTATCTTGCACAGACAGTTGCTGGCGTACGAGAGCGCCTTTGTAGCGAATTTATCAAACACTTGTTAGTCATCAGAAACCGGTGCCTTTAATCTCGAGGTAAGGCACATTCGTGCCGAACATTTTCAGTCGGACGAGATGGTTAACGACAATTAGTGTACTCTGTTTTTTTGTGCACATGACAGAGTCAGCAGTATTATTGTTTTCTTTGTGTCTTCCCTATAGGCGACACGGCTCCTTCCCGTTTTCTACGATGCTCGCGATACGATCGAATCCTGGGAAACAAAGGTCGAGCAGATCATCCAGTTCTGCCATAATTCTGTCACCAAACTCATTGGTGCAAACGCCTCGGACACAGCACTGAAGCTCTTTTTGAACTGTGCTCAGGCGATAGACGCGCTGCCCTTTGGAAAACAGATTTCACTTGCCTATGAATTCTTTTCTCAGGTGAGGATAATTTAGAATGCCGTTGTTGCTGTCTGCCTACGCGGCCTGCATTCCAATTTTTTACTGTCTAAATTTTGTCTAATGAAGCATTGTAAATAGGCATTGTTTTCTTTTCCAGGCTTTCACCCTCTTCGAACAGGAATTGTCTCGCTCGTCTTTCCAGCTGTCGGCCCTATCTTTAATTGTTTCCACCCTCCTTGAAATGAAGTGTTTAGACGCAGAAAACTTTCAGGTGCTACGAACCCAATGCACCCGCGTGGCATCGCATTTACTCCTCAGGCCGGATCAGAGTCGGGCAATGGCAGTCGCTAGTCATCTCTTCTGGGTCCCCCGTGAACCTTTGGCGAACTCCGAAGTGGTTGGTTGATCTTCTTTAGCCTTAATCCTTTGCATACAGTAGGTGTCCTAACTCACGAGATAGGCCCAAATTAACGAAAAATTGTCCAAGCAATCGGAACCCACTTCCGTTTGCATCTACCAGAACACCCAACAGGCCATAAAATTCAAAAAAATTAAGTGTAGCGGGCAGCCAACAATGCTGTCCACATGCCAAGGCCCGCGGTGTCATGCAAGATTATGAAAAAATGTCATCCTCGGTAGTGAAATGGCGCTTTTATATACACGGTGTCCCAAAATGTATACACATTTGACGTAATTGTAAAATTGGTGTTTATTATAATTTTATTATTTCAAAAATGTAAAGATATTTACAAGTATAATTTATTGTTTTTTACTGAATTATTTCAAATTGACGTCCATTTTGATCATCACACTGCTGACAACGTGAAGCAATGGAATCGCACACACTATAAAACAATTCCCTTGGTATTCGGAAGCATTCATTTTCAATGGCTTCTCTCAATTCAGCCACTGTTGCAATAGTCAAA